ACAAAACACTAAATTCTTTACAAATATTTTAAGAATTATCATGTATTTATTTAGGGCAATGATTTCCCCACTCACTTACACTCCTTTTTTAGTTATAAAAAAAGAGTGTAAGTGGATAAAATAGGAGAAAAATGAGTGGGGAAATCACCACTCTTTATTTATTTTTATCGTAGAACTGTCTTGTATTTTTATTTTTATATAAATATTTTAAAAACAAACAGTGTTAATATCAGTTTGTAGTTTTTTCTCTCAAAAAACAAAAAAAGAATCAGTTTGTAAGCCAATTTCTCAACAAAAAGAAGCCATCTTTCAAACTATTATTTATTATTTACTTACGATAAAAGAAAATCGATTTATTTATCTCTATGTAGCCGACAGATTTGGTTAGGGTAGTGACCGTTGAGGGGTCATCTTTCAAACTAGCCGTTGACGGTGCTGCCAGCAGCAACCTGCAAAGTTATGCTTTGCTGTTTGGTCACGGGGAGGGTATACCATATTCCAAACTAAATTATTTTGATTTTCTACGATATGCTTTCCTAGGCTCCAACTTGTACTACTTAAATATTAATAGTTGGTATTGCATCCAACAAGAAAAAACAATTCATACTTGTACATCACTCTCTGGCCCAACAAATTGAACACACGAGTCACTTTTAAGTTAGGTTTAATTACATATACGTACCCAACTTTTAGGGGTCTGTTCAAATTATTACTTAACTTTTAAAATCATGCACGTAGGTACTATGAGAGCAAATATTTCGGCAACTAATCATAAGGCACCACGTGGACAATAAGAATATTTCTTAGGTCAACAATTGTGCTCCATTTAATTGACCAATTATTTAGACTTAAAATAGGAATAATGCCATAAATTAGGGATTTGATTTTCATTAAATCTCTAATTGATTCAATCTCTCCATTTAAGGAAGAGAATAATTCCCTTCTATATGAAAATTATTCTCTGAAAAACCCTAGAAGGCAAGAGCACTATAAATACATGGCTACACCGCATACATGAGGTAATTCGAAAAACCCTAGCAATTCCTCTCTCTCTCTCTCACCGCCCACTCTCTCTCTCACACGGCTCCGGCCACTCAGTTCTCTCGTATTGTAAAGAAAACTCCGACCTTATTTGTTATTTTTGTATCTTCCTCAAGATCATCTAACTGACTTAGGCATCGGAGGGCCTTTGATCGACACCCCTTGGATGTGGTCTATTTACTCCAACCTTCTTCCCAAGTATCGAGGATGAAGAGAGAGAAGGAAGCTCAAAGGGTGAATAATCTCTTGCAAATATTCTCCAATGAGAATTTTGCTCAAACAGATACCTAACCTTGCAGAAAACATACAAATTAGTCACTCTATTTATATCTATTAAATGACGATGTGGCATTTCCCATGTGGCTTCTTTTTGCTGAAGTGGCCTTACTAATGACATTGATGGTGATAGTGATGGTGATGGTGATGATGATGTAGCTTATCCAATTAAACTGGCAAAATTGGAAGTGAAGAAGCAACATTTCAAAATGTTGACTTGAGCAGTGGTGTAGAGGAAGAAGTATACTTGGTAGTTGGAGGCGTTTTGAATTCGAACATGGCAATGTGTTGTACTTGGGGAAACTGCCAGTCATACTATTGTACCTTTTAACCTAGGATAGGAAAGTGTTGGTGGGCTTGGATCCTTCTTCTGGGCCCTCGTCCTTCATTTGTGCATATTTTCCCTTTCAAAACTTTTCTCACCCTTAGACAAAAAAAAAAACAATAATAAAAATTTATCACCCATTCTTTTATCCCTCCTGCACCAGTTTGTGAGGGTTATGTTTAGTCGTAAGAGCGAATCAGACTCTTCTAGCGATGTATTGTATTATGAAGTAGAACGTGTCATCCCTTTGTTGACCTAGAAAGGGAAGTAGAGTCTCTATTAGATTCGACGCACCTTGCTGTAGACAAAGAAATTTTGACGCAATAAATTCCCTTGGATAAGAAAATAATTAAGGTTCAGTGGATTGAATTGTGGGTCTCATAATTTGCACACGTGGCATATGACTCATCAAAATCGAATTAGTTGTCAAAAGTGACACGTATGGACATCCGACGAAATGCATCAAACAATTCGAAGTGAAGACAAATTAAATGAAAGAATCTTCTGTGATTAACTCTTATTTAAATCAAATATTAATCAAGTCAATCAATCGAAGATAATTTGGTTAAATTGCCAAATTATTGGAATTGATTTTAAATCAAATCAGAATTCCACAAATGAAGGTTTTAAAGAAGGAAAGCTATTTATTAGGTCAAGCATCCTGCAGGAGCTTATAAATAGGAGGCCTCAAGACGAAAGAAGGGGCTTAGACGGACAAAGCATTCAGAAGCAACAGACAACTCTCTGCATTCTTCACCTCACTTTGGAAGAGCCACCAATCACAACAAATACGTGCCGGTTCCTCCACCATAAAAAAATCCAAACACCAAACAAGCCTTGTGCTACCCGTTTGATCAAGATCAAGTCTCTACGACCCCTATATCAAACACAAATTTACTTTAAACACTTTGGAGATCGAATCAGAGGATTCAATACAGAGATTGTAACCTAAACTTCATTAATACAAATATTATTTTGTACACGTGTTCTTGCATTTGCTGCAGGAAATTCATGTTTACAAATTTGGCACGCCCGGTGGGACAATCTCTGCCTCTCATCTCTTTTTCCAGTTCCAAAATCAATCAACATGCCGAAAATGATGGCTTCCAAGAAGATTCAAACTATTCCCGCGACGAGAGCAAAAGTGTGAACGCCTCCTTCTCAAGCGAAGATTCTGCTAGGGTCATCACCCAGAGCAAGGCCAAGGCGATATCCGTAACTCAACATGTCACTTCCATATTGACTCAAGCTAAGGCGAAAGATGTGAACCGAAGGCGTGAACCGGTTATCAATTTGGCCTCCTTAGGGCCAAAGAAGAATACCGCCCGAGCAGATGAGAGAAACTCTTGGAACAAAGAAAAGAGTTTTCTGGACTCAAAGAATTCAAGAGAACGTTCACTCTCTCCTGTTTCAGATGCTAACTCGAGCACAGGGTCATACCATGGATCCCTGTCTGACAACCAACCGAAGAAGATTGCCTCGGCGTCCATAGGTGAGTCTTATTCTATGGCCATGCAGGTCATGGTGACGGAAGCAATGTCTATTGAAGAACAACTGGCCCGTATGAGCGAAGCGGTCACGAAACTGACGAAGATGGTCGAAGAGAAGGATGCGCAGATTGCTTCTCTCATTAACAAGTGGGAGGCACATCAGGATAAGAAACCTGGCCAAGACGTGCATAAGAAAGAATCACATCATGAAGCTGAATCCAGCGAGAAAGGATTGGGTCATGAAACAGAGTCGGGTGATAAGTTGCACAGAAAAGGCGACATCGCCTCGGTGGGTTCTTTATCTATCCAACAACTTCAGGACATGATCTCGAACACCATTAGGGCTCAATATGGTGGGCCTTCTCAAGATACATTTATCTATTCCAAGCCTTACACCAAAAGCTTAGACAACCTTCAAATTAGGGGTGGGCATCTTAAACCGAAATACCGAAACCGTACCCTAACCGCACCGTACCGTACCGATTTCATACCGTTTCATTTGGTATGGGGAGATATTCGTACCATACCGTACCATACCGAATAGAGTATGGTATGGTAGCAGTATCAAGATTTTGATACCGGTCAATACCGTACCGTACCGAATAGTACTTAAATTTAATTTAATTTAATTTTTCATTCTCTCACTATCTCTGTCTCTTGCTTGCCTCTCAAACTCAAACGCCAAAGCCAAACCCTCTCAGACAAAAAAGAGCACGCTCTCACTCTCAGACTCTCAAGTCAACCCGTGCAAACTCA